TCCATCCTCTAAAATCTTTTCTCTATTCTGCCTCCTTCTCATTGGACACTGCCATTAATCTCTCCTAAGAACAAAACTCTTTCACAAAAACAGCAATCTGCCTTTACTAGATTGCCCTTTACTTCTTAAGAGTTATTTGGCCTACTGTAATCTGTCATTCTCTTCCCCCCTGTTTGTTGAAACTGCTCTCTCTCCAGTTCCCCATTCCCTTAAAACACTTTACTATAAATTATTAACACTACGATCCTATGATACCAAACCAACAGTTACAAATTTCCAAATGCAGATTTCCTGATGGCTTCTCTACTCAGCAGCTTCTAGAAAAATACAATTTAATATAGCAAACTGTGGACATTTTAAATGCAGCTCCTAAAAGTTGTGCTTAAGTGAAAACAGGCATCTCTTATTTCTAGATCGAGAACTGTTTCAAGTCGTGAGTTGTTTTTTGTTTTGTTTTTAATAATAGAAATATAATACTGCAACAATGCTTTGGACACAGATCTTTGCACACATCTCTGATTATTTCTTTAGGATAAATTTCTAGAAATGAATTACTATATTAAACACTATTTTAAATTAGTAACATAGCATCTAAAAATCAAAGAAATTCTTTGTCAATAGAATGTTCTGTAAATGCATATGATTATAATATCACTTTATTTTATTTTCCTCTTCTTATTTGTAACCCCATTTGGGGGTGATTTTCTTTTGGAGAGCAAATTTTTAATGAAAAAGGAACTTTTTTGAGGATGTTGTATTTATATTTACAACCATCAATTAAATGGCAAAGTGTCTTTCCTTTTTGCTGATTCTTTTTCTGAGAGGGATGTAGTGTAGTGCATAACAGGGAAGTACAATTTGGCTGGGAAGTGGACTTGTGTTCCTGGGTGAGAGTCAGCAACTGTGGAGGACTGCGAACTAGGAGAAAGAATGGCCCATGCCAGCCACATTCATCAGTCATGGAATCTGCCCAGCTGCAAGGGAATAACAGCCCACCCAGAACTCTGTACAGGCCTGCCCTCACCAGCATGGCACCTCACATTTTCCATCAACTGGGTCAAGTATCAACATTTGGTTAATTAGTCACAATTTTCAGGATCTAAGGGTGTCAGCCAGGGGTCTGCCTGTTCACATGGAGAGATTGTTGCTCAGAGGAGAGATGTTCAGGGGTCTGCCCCTGCAGCTGGCTGGCTGTAAGATGATTGTCAGGGGACTGGAGTGATTCAGCCATGGGGAACAGCAGGCAATAATTTCACTGTTGCTTTTTATCTGTCCCTCTCTCCATTGAATGCTGCTGGCTAGTAGCAAAGACCTAAAAAGGAAGACTGAAAGATAACAATAAGGGATTTGGGAAAGCACTTTAAATAATTTCCTTAGCTGAATTCAGATGAACCTCCTCTAAAGAACCATGGTGAGTGGCCAGGCCCAGCTGGCAGACTGGTTTTAATTGACATGCAATGCTTTTTGGAATCCATGGGACCAGAAACACAGCCCCAGTGTCAGTCTATCTCTACCTACCTCTTTTCATTGTGGACTCTTTGATTCATTTATTCTTTTCTTCAGAGTATATTTGATGGTGGGAGGATGTATATTAGTAAATGCCATAGCCACCATATTCTCTAGCAATTCTAAAAACAATGGTTAAATGTTGCTACATTGTCATCAAAACCATTATTTTAAAGACTGATCGATTCATAGAATGACTTTAAAATACAACAGTAATCCACTTCCCCCTGTAAAAATTCCTAAAGCATTCTTTTTTTTTTTTTTTTTTTCTGTTGGGAAAAGCAGTTTCCTACAAATCTAAACAGAGAACCAGAAGAATCCTTTAAAGTCATCCAGTTTAACTTCTCAATAGACACTGGATCCCTCATGTCCAGTGACTAGCCAGATACTCATTGAGGGAAGAGTCCCCCCTACCTTTTAAAATAGCTCAATTTGGACAGCCTTATCTCATCATTCATTCTTCACCTAAGCCACAATTTGAAAACCTAAGCTTTCTATTTTTATTCTTATAGCCATTAGAGAACAAAATAGCTTTTACTTCTATATTATATTTCTTAACACATTGTAGACTTTTATTATATCCTTTCTTACTCTTCCCTTTAGGGCTTGAATATCCTCCATAAGTTGATTTGTCTGTTCATTCATTCATCAAATATTTGTTGAAAGATACTATGTGCCAAACCAGGCACCAAGAAAAAAAAAAAAGATAAACACGATTCCTGCCTTCTGCAAGCTCAGTTTGAAGGAAAGATAGACTCATAAACATATAACTTCAAAATAACACAGTGCATGACATAGATGAGCATAGAAATCTACAAAAATTCAAAGAAGAGTGATTTACCCAGAGAAGAGGAGTTGGGGTGATCATTTAATATTTCTTACAACAGATGCCATCTGAGCCTTATCTTAAAAAGTGGGAAGAAATGGGTCAGTCAAGGGGAAGATGGGAAGTTTCTGGTGGAGAAAACAGCATGAGTAAAAGCCAAGAGACAAGTTACTTGGACTATGCAGGAAAGAGCCAGCAGTTCAGTTCAGTGTCCTTGGGGGTAAAAGTATAAAACTGGAGATAAAAGTAATAGGTTAAGAGCTAGATCATGAATATCTTTGTCAAATGACTAAGTTTTGGGTGCTCTCTCCAAAAATATAAAAGTAATAGGTTAAGAGCTAGATCATGAATATCTTCGTCAAATGACTAAGTTTTGAGTGCTCTCTCCAAAAATATTAATATTGTTAGGAGAAAGCATTTGAGTATCTCCCAGTCTCTGTTTGCCTCCTTCCCTACCCCCATTAATCAAGAAATTTTTATCCCTGAGGTGCCAACTCTAGTAACACCAATACACTCTAATTGATTTACTTGAAGTTAGATCCAAATTGCATTGGAGAGACTCATCTTCCCATCTTTTCCTTGTAAAATCTCTAGATCTTAGAGAAATTGCCTCATAAGTTACCTAAATGTTGTCTTGGTGATTATCTATATGACAATGTAGTTGAGGTTATGTAATGAAAACCACCAGGTACCAGGCTATCACTGCCTTGTCTGTTCTCCCTTGAATTCTGTGAAGGCAGAAATCACCCCTGTAGCTTTAGTTTTTAGTACAGTCACATAGGAAAAACTCATCCAATACTGATACAGTCATCTAGTGTCAATAGATAATTAAAAACAAAAATGAATTTATTTAAACTCCTCTCTGAAAAATCTCATGATAAAGATTCATCTCATCTAATTCTCTCCTTGCTTTCTTCATTCCAGCCCAATGGTCTGTTTTTTTTTTTTTGGACCTGACATACCTTTTCTCACCTAAGAAATTTTACATATGTTCTTCCCTCTGCCTGGAACAATCTCTCCCCATTTCCAACTCTCACCCTGACCCCCTTAAAGATAACTGCTATTCACCTTCTGGAAAAGCCCCTATGTTTGGTTCTCCTGTTACCTACTCCTGCACTCTGTACTTCCCCTTCATATGCCTCATAAATTGACATATTACTGTTATAACTCCAGGGCTTGGTCTAGAGCCTGGCACAGAGCTGGTGCTTAATACATATTAAAACCATGATTACATGACTGCTACTAGGTAATATCTCTGTTCAATGAGCATTAGAATTTTTCAAAGAACACACAAAATTTCAGAGATGTTAGAAGTAAAAAGGTATGGGATATTAGTTGCCGTGATTTAATTATTAATTTAAACCTTTCACCATTGATTTATTAATTTGAACTTTTCACCATAAATGTACAATTGTGAAAACACCCCTCTAGAATTTAGAGTTTTATTAATCCAATAAAAATTGCTAAACAAAATTGTTTGACATTTGAAGTGGTATATAACTGTCAAGTTATAGCTGACCTTATCTTGACATTGAACTTTTTTGACTAATTGAATGCTTTAATTAATTTTTCTGCATTAACTACTAAGTTCTTAGTCATCATCTCTTTTTACCCAAGAGCAGAACTTAATCAAGTGATCATCAATTTAGTAAGCTGTATTCATCATAAGAGTATATAGAGAAATTAAATATCCAGTGACAGGGGACTGTTCAAATAAATGATAGTATATGACCTTGATTAAGTATTATTTAGTCTCTTAAAATGAATAATTATAAAGACTACCTAGCTGTATGGAAACAAAATATAATGCAGATGCTGGAAAAAAAATCAAAACATAATATGGAAATATAATGTAGCTGTGGAGATGGAGATTAAGATAATATGTAAATAAGAAATATGTTAAAAAAGATGGAGTTTGTGAACTTGGGGGAGACTTTTAATTGTTTTACATGCAAATTTCAAAAGGCTATATGTACCTTAGATGTCAATAAGTATAATTTGCAAGAGTAATTATGAAAGCTTTATTAGAATATAAACCATTCAAATTTACATGCTGCATCAGTAACATTCCTTTTCTATATCCACTGCAAATTAAAACTTGTTTATTACTGAAAAGTATCTCACATTTATTATGACTCTAGAAGGGACCCTGACTTCTGAAGTCAAAAGTACTTTGTTACATAGGAATACATTTAATCGATGGATAGACAATATTAGATCAATACTAAAAATAAAATAAAAACACCCAAATGTTACTACTCTGCCAAATCAAATATTTTTTATGTTACTATTTCCTTCTGTTCTTTTCAGTATGTATTTTTTGTTTAATTGACACTAATGACTTTTTTGTATTTTTTAATTAGTAAGTAAGCTTTTATTTCCTACTTTATAATTATCATTTTAATTGCTGTATAAAGGAAGCATTTCTTAAAAGCAAAAATGTAAGGCCCTTTGAATAAGCAAAAACTTAAGGTCCCTTGAATTCTTGCAGCACAGGAACAAACTCCCTGACCTTCCTTTGTCTGCTGAGAGAGCACTTTATAGCTTTGCATACAAGGCTGTTATCACCTGATTTCCATTTGAGTAGTAAAATGATAATGCAGAATGCAAAGGGAACTAGGTTTAGGTGACAGCCACATCATTTAATGTCTACTTATTATTTCTACAGGGGAATTCTGGCCTGGGATTCAGTATTGCTGGAGGGACAGATAATCCCCATATTGGAGATGACCCTGGCATATTTATTACGAAGATTATACCAGGAGGTGCTGCAGCAGAGGATGGCAGACTCAGGTAAAGATTGGAAATGTTAGAATTATTTGGAAAGTAAACCTGCCACATCAATGAAACACGTTTGTAACTTTGAAGAATAATAATTCTACAAAAGTTCTGCACTTGAAAGAGAAGGCTGTCAAAGCGAGCTTTCTGCAATGACTTTGCAGATCTCTTATTATTTATTGAGTTTCAAACAGTATTTTATTTGTACTCGTTGATGGCTACCACATTCAACAACAGGCCAGGCACTGTGAGGAGGGAATGCAGATATATCTTTTGTTTCATCGAGCCTTCTTCAGTCTAATTGGAAAGAAGAATCTTATGAGTTGGTGAGCAAATAATAAAATGTACAGAAAAATAATATATTTAAGTAATAGTAGCAAATGATGCAATGTTATAGACACTGTATTTACAAATTCAGCAAACATTTATAAGGGCTTAAAGTAGAAGTTTAAACAACACCTAAAATATAATTCCATAGGAAGACTCCATTCTAAGTCTTAAATAATAAGATTTTGCTAACCCTGCAAATATGAATGAGAACTCGGAGGGAGAAAGAACAAGTGTCTTAATGAAGAGGGAAACAAACTTGGCCGAAGACCTCAGGGCTAGATTAAGTAGGTGAACAGGGTGGAACCATAAATTTCTCAGGGCAGAGTAGCTGCTGTTTGAGTCAGGGCCCCTTTCTTTAAAGAACTAAAGATTTGAGGGTGGGTGGGGAGTGTGAATCACCCCATGGGGCAATTTGCAAATTATATAAAATTCTATCAGAGATCAAAACACTATCTAAAAGACATTGTGCATTGGAACAATGACTAGAGACTTCTCTGGGGAGAAAAACATGTATACAAAAATAATATATTTTAAGTAATATTAGCAAATTTTAGTGCCTCTACTATATTGTAAATCCTCTCAGACCAAGCAGTTATATATAGAAGTGCATCAATAAATTCTTTCTGAATTAATGAATGAGGTTTTGAATGGATGAGTGCATAAAATGATAAGAAGAAGGAGAGGGTAAATTAATGAGTAGAGGGAAGGAGGGTATTGTGTCCTGCAGGTAACTATAACTTTAGCTTGTATGGAGCCACCCTGAGGAGTATGACCTAATTAGCCAAAATGTAAGCTTCATAGGCTTTCCTTACTCTGTTTTTTTATCAGTCATAAATAAGCTAATTTACTGTTTTTATTATAAAGCAGCCAAGGACAGTTTTGTTCCCTACCCAATTGTTCTGGTGCAGTGATTACTTTTGGCAGCTGCATCATTGCAGCTTGTGGAGGAGAATCACAATTTTTTTTCAGGTTCATCTGTATCTCCTAACAACAAGAAAAGAAATGAGTGACACTCCCTCAGGAAACACATGCTTTTTGACAATAGAACTTTCAAGCTGAATTGACAAAATTAGTTTCTGAGTGAGGAAATATACATGCTACAGAATGAATGATTTGAAATAGATGCTGTGTAATTCTATGAGCCATTGTGAAAACTTAGGCTTGTTCATGCCGGATACTGGAGAGGCTTCATTTCTAAAAGTGTAAAATAGAGGTGTTAGAGGATAATTCAGAAATTGGCGGGCCACCATCATTATTTCCTACTACTCTGTACCTCGAAGTAAGACAATTTCCATCTCTTAGCCAAATTCTGACTTAAAGCTTGAGGTAGAACAGACTTTATATTATGTGCTTACCCTACAATTAGAATAAAAAGCAGCATCTCTGAAAATGCCACCACCCTTTGCCTGCAAGTACAGGTGGCAATAGTAAGTCTGCAAAGGTAAAAGTAAGTTCTGCTGTGTTGGAAGCATCATTCCATAGTTATAAAAAGAGCAAACATAATGATAGCTTACATTTACTGAGCTTTTTGTATGTGTGGGGCATTGTGCTAAGATAAATAAATAGATGATAGATTGATAGCTAGATGATAGATAGATGGATGATAGATAATAGATTAGATAGATAGATAGATTGAAGATAGATGAGAGAGAGAGAGAAAGAGAGAGATTAAGTAGGAAATAAGTAGATATAGAGATGTAAAAACAAATATAGATAAACACAGACACACAAGCTTCTATATACTATTATTATGGCCATAAGGATATTCAGGTTTAAAGACTTTAAGAAGATCACCAGCTAGCTATGAATACATTCAAAAACTAATCCTGAATGTCACTTATGTACTCTCTAAACTCTTATTCAATAGTAGAACCCCCTATATCTCTGCCGAAAAACTCCCACGGGTAAAGTTTTCATAATATTAAGGGGAAACTCTAAACATTACAGAATTTGTTATTTTCTACCGAGCCACGGTTTTCTTTATTCTGACCATTACCTATTGGTCTTTGTTTTGGCTTCCTGTCATGACCTATGACTATGTGTACGTATATTGCCTCCCAAGGTTGTGCAATGAACAACCTGAAAAACTCTGAATACTGGTCCTAACTGAAACAAACAAATATACCTACTCCCAGTTTACATTACAGACTTTTGTAATGTGAAGACAGCTATTGGTTGGGTTTCCACTTCATTTTGACAGATCCTTGCTACTACTGCTGAAATTGCTTCCCACCCTACTGCTTCCTGCCATAAACTTGAATAGCTTGGGAACATCTAAGAGTATAAAAATAACAATCAGTTGAAAATATGAACAGACACTTCTCCCAAGAAAACATACAAATAGGCAATAGATATATGAAAGATGCTCAACTTCACTAGCTATTAGGAAAATACAAATCAAAATCACAATAAGATACCACCTCATACCTGTTAGAATGGCTACCATCAGCAGAACAAGTAATACCAAGTGTTGGAGAGGTCTCGGGGGGAAAAGGAACTCTTATATACTACTGGCAGAAATGTAAGTTGAGACAGCCACTATCTAAAACAGTGTGGAGTTTCCTCAAAAAAATTAAGAATAGAATTACCATATGACCTAGCAATCCCTCTTTTGGGTATTTACCCCAAAAATTTGAGAACATTTATTTGTAAAGATATATGTACCCCGATGTTCACAGCAGCATTGTTTACAGTGGCCGAGACATGGAAACAACCAAATTTCCTCCAATAGATGATTAGATAAAGAAGATCTGGTACATATATACAGTAGAATGTTACCCAGCCATTAGAAAGATGAAATACTGCCACTGGTGACAACATGGATGAATCTTGAGATTATCATGCTAATCAAAATAAATTAGACAGCAAAAGTTGAGAACCATATGATTTCATTCATATGTTGGATATAATACTGAAAGCAACAAAGAAACATGACAAACAGAGACTCATGGATACGGACAACAGTCTAGTGGTTACCAGAGGGAAGGGGTGGGGAGGGGAGGAAGATAGGGGTAAAGGGGGTCAAATATATGTTGATGGAAAGAAATTTAACTTTGGGTGGTGAACACCCAAATGCGATATACAAGTGCTGTGTTATTGAATTGTACACTTAAACTTATATGATTTTACTAGCCAATGTTACGCTGATAAATTTAATAAAAAAGAGAAAGAGAGGAAAAAAGAGAAAGAAAGAAAGAGAAAGAGAGGAAGGAAGGAAGGAAGGAATGGAGGAAGGAAGGAAGGAAGGAAGGAATGGAGGAAGGAAGGAAGGAAGGAAGGAAAGAAATCGCCTCTAGATAACTTAAATTGGAAAGGAGGGAGGGAGGGAAGAAAGGAAGGAAGGAAGGAAACAGAAAAAGAAAAAATGGCAGCATGATATTAAGTATAGATGTTTTAGAATTGGCAATTTATCTAATTCAAATCATACAATTTAAAGATCAGGAAACTGAGGCTCAGAAGAGTGACTTAACCTGAGGCATAAATCATTTGGGGCTCTGCTTTATCTAGGATCCAAATGTCGTGACCCAAGTATTTAACATTCTGAGATAGTGTTAAGAGGCACTACCACCCATGTCCACCTAAGGAGTCTTTTCTCAGTGTGACAGGAACTCTTTTTGCAGCTAGACCAACAAGCTGTGAGGACTAATTTATATCTCACCATTAGTTCTTACAGACAGAGTAGCACATTACAATCAGGTCTGGAAATAAATAATTTCTAATGTCTGTATACTAACATAATTGGTCTTGAAAAAGTTAAACTCTTTTAGTCGCTATTGTCTCATCTGTAAAATGATGAGAATAGTACTACTTCATTGAGTCGTTCTGAGGATTCAGTGAGATAACTCAAGTCCTGTCAGGCAGATAGTAGGTACTCAATAAATTTTAGCAATGTTTTCCCCTTTTCCTTACCTGCCCTCTCTACTTCTCAGTCATCTTTGTTCTCCTCTTGCCTCTGTTTCTCTTTTTCTCTATGCTGTCCTATTCTCTTTCCTCTCATCCCTTCTACTTTGTTCAGTCTCGTTATCCTCT